GTCTGTATCGTATAAAACTGTCCATCTATGGAAGGAGAAAGAAGTTTAAAATAAGCGTATTCTTTCAGGCTTCTGACAAAAGGAAGAATCAAGGGGAAAATGTCTATAGAAGAGTCTTGCAAGGAGGGCTGGGAAGGAGACCGCATGGGACACCTCGCACCGCTCCCTTCTGAGCTCATCTCCAGGAACCGGAGCCATAAACGTGATTAAATTATCAGGCAGACGACGACCCAGGGACAACAATTAAGGGCGATTTCCAAGCCTACAGCACCTCCTGCAAAAGGCTACTGCAGCAAATCAGAGGCAAGTTTTACAACGCTTCCCAACGCATCTCACAGATAAATGTAATAACCAGGCGGTTTTAGAAAGCATGGCTTGGAAAATGAAGTTTCCACTGAAACAGAGCTACTGGCACTGCTTTCCTTGCCAAAAAGGCAATGTTCTGCTGTATTTTTTTTTTTTATATAAAAGGTAAGTATCACACAGTAGCTACTGCATGTTACAGTCCAAGTGGGGATGTGGTACAAGACAACCCTAATGCATCAAAGGCCACGAGAGGCACAACCTGACACAAGCGACTCATCTGCAAACCCCGGTTCTCAGTAGAATTTCACAGCGGAGTCACCAGCACAAGCTGATCATCCTGCAGCAGAAACAAACCCCAAAGCGAAACAAACTCTTTCCAAAGCAGACAGGCTGTAGATTGAAACAGAGGATCCCACTTTGCTGCTGCAGATCCGTGCACAGGAAAGCGTTTCTGCCACCAACGTCCAACGTGGTTCGCAGTCAGGTGTGACGCTCCAGCGACACATCTCTGCTTTTATCACAAAGGTTCAGGAGTCACTGCAAGCCCCAGATCCAACACCGGTACGACAGCACCAACGTGAGCCCTGTGCGTCACCTCTGTGTGACATCCGGCAGTGCTGACGCTGAGCAAAGGATGCAAAACCTACCTGATGCCTCAGGCAAGCAGACAGCTAGCCCACCCTAACGCTGCCTGAAGGGCTCTGTTCACCAGGGCTGCACTCACACCTTCAAGCCGTGTCAGAGTGATGCTGAAGTCACGGACTGTAATCTGCAAAAACTGCATTTAAATACAGCGTTAAAACTGGGGCTGCTTTATTAAGCTCATGACTTAAAACCCTACTTTACATGCTCATGAGTTTGGAGAAGCAAATCAGGCTGCAACCGCACGTCCCACCAGACGGAGGGTGGTGGAGCACCTTCTGGAGGCAGCAAGCACTCTTGGACCGGCTCGTAGCAGCGAGTCCAACCCCACTCATCGTTACCAGATCTGAAACTGCCTTTTCCATAGCCGCACACTCTTTTACAAGCTTAAGTCCGTGAAGAAGCTCTTCCCCTGCAGTCCTAGCAGGAGGTTAGGTGGCTACGGGCGCTCCTTCAGACTGCACCTCGCCCTCTGCTAGGAGGTTGTGCCAGGTCTGGTGCTCTAGCTGCCCTCCATCACGTGAAACAGCACCCTTCAGCACCCTTCGGCACCCTTTGGCACCCGCACGCCAGCCCAAACCCGGCTCTTTGCTGGTGCTTCTGAAAATCTCCGTGTGGCTTCTCCCACCCGAGCCCCGCAGCCCTGACCCAACAAAGCTGGTTTCAGCAGCACCAAACACGGCGCTGGAGCACAAACGCTCTCCGGTTACGACTGCTCTTGCAGACACAGCTCGTCGGCACGACCGAACGCGCGGCTCCCATATGCTTTCCCAATCCCAATGACCAATCCCAGATGTGCAACATGGTTTAATTAACACTCCTGCTGGAAGCGTAACGCCTGCCATTGCAATGCTTCAAGACGAACGCTGCGTGAACGTATCTGATTTTCACCTTAACTAAATTACTTTTTTAAACTTTGGCCATCGCCCATCAGACCTGACAAGCTCAGAAGCGCAGGGCTCTCTTATTCCTCTTCCCATTTCCCCGCGGACAGTTTTCTTCCAGCCAGGGTAAGCAGGATTGCAGGAATCCTAATGTATTTTTGCAAAACAAAAAAGATTTGAGATCACAGCCCCTGTTGATTTATATCCCCAGTTTCTGGTGGAATCAACATCCTCTGTGCATCTCAGAAAGCCCTGAAGAGATGGCATAACCACTTGGTCCCTAACGAACTAATTTCTCCATTGACCACATCCTCCGTGTATTGTTGTGTCCCTCGAGCGCCTGGGGCCTGTGAAGCAGGATTCCAGATGCTGGACCCTCGCTCCGTGTTTGCAGCAGCGTCGTGCCCAGGACAGCAGTGTTGGTTGGGGTGGCTTTAGGGCAACAAGATCAAGAGAGGTTAGAAATGGCTTGCTTGGGTATTTGGGAGGCAAAGATTTAAGGTAGAATTTTAAAGTCATAAGAATCAATACAAACAGTTAACCCAGATGATTTTCCCCCTAATTTAGTTTTAACGTGGCACGAAATCCCCAAGCCAGAACACCGTTGTATTTCAACTCCAGACCGGGTAGAGCAATTATTTTGTCATTGAGCATGTTAGGAAAGAAAAAGGCAGGAGGCAAGTTTCTGCCTCTTTGGTAATGTACAAATTAACACATTTCAGCACCATTTTCAGAAATATAAATTAATGATTTAATTCTGCAACATGTACCCTTGGAAACCAAGCTGTAAGCAGTCGCCCTTGGATATTTCACACAATTCCCATTTTTTTCAATATTCAAATACAACTAATTGCTTGCCCTTTTGGAGTGATGGACAGCTTGAGCGAGCAGGCTGCCCAGGGGCTTATTTTACCACCAGATTTGTACAATCCCGCTACGTGGGTTGACAACAGCTGCTCTAAATCTCCTGATAGGTATGAACAAGCACTGATGAAGTTCAGTCTGTTTGAACAGCTGCATATGCAAATGTAATTAAGAAGATGTCTACTGCCTTTTGCTCTCCTCTCCATGTCCCCCCTTCTCCCTCTCCCCTTACTCTGTCTCCTAACGGGGACGGTTGCCATTTCATAGCTTCAGACTTGAACCCGTGCCTGCTTCACGTCTCACAACCGGGTCCCAGAAATGCCACTCTCCAGCTCCCTCTACCATCATTCAGGGTGCCCGTAAATTTAGGGCTCAGCTATCGAACAGCTGATTATTTTGCGCCCTCGATGCCCAAGCATCGACACTGCCGCTTGAAAAGCAAACCCCTTGTCAGCGTATTGCGGCAAAGTGATTTTCCCACACCGCGTTTTATGCCGATGAGGTCGTGACTGCTCTTCATCCCTTATTTATACTACGCTTGCTGCGCAGCCTCAATCGAACCACTCCGCTCGCGTCTCTATCTGCAAGAGTTACCCAGGGAGATACTCTGGGGGCGACCGCAGCCAGAAAAAGCCACATGGGAAGAGGTGACACAGGCGCAGAACCCCCCCCGGTTGTACCTACAGCAGCGATCGCTGCTTGAATTCGCCAGCCCAGGGCTTGGTGGGAGGATGGAGATGGCCACGGCGGTTCTGGAGGGTCTCAGCGCCACAGGGCGAATTCTCATTAAATGAAACAAGCTGGTTAACGAAGCCAGGACGACTGATGCACACAGAGATCCAGGTCTTTCCCTTCAAAGTGATGCTATCTGGGATACATATCCCAAAACTACACGGACTGAGCCGCGGCCGCCTGTCCAGCACCGGAGAGGAACCGCAGCATCCACACGACTGCACCGCGGAAAGGAAGAAGTTGATGTGAGCAACCCCGAGCCTGCCCGCCTGACCTCAGCAGGACGGAGGCTGGAGAGCCAGCTGAAGAAACACTAAGTAGAACATGAAACTAAATGGTAAACAGGGTAGAAAACAATGGGACTGTCCTGAAGGGAAATCAGATCAAACGGAGCTAATCAGGTTAGCCCGGTAAGATAATGAATTTTCTAGACAAAGGAAGCGTGATAGATCCCATCCACGCAGACTTCAGCACAGCACTTGATACAGTGCCATGTGGGAAATCAGTAAATGAGGATGATGGGGATTAGCAGAACTGTAAGGCCAGGAAACTGGTGAAAGGCGAAGCAGTGTTGAAAGAAGGATCAGAATGGATGGAGGTCACCGGTGGAGCTCCTCAAGGAATGGTCAGGAGGCTGATCTTATTAAATATTTTTATTAATGACCTTGGCAGAAAAAGTAAGTGTGCTAATGAAATTTGCTGATGACACAAAGTTGGAAAGCAGCATCGGCACAGAGGAAAGCTGGGACGGCATACAGGAAAAAAAATGGATAACTCTGAAGAGGAATGGAAGAAGGTTGAAATTTAAGGGGATGAAAGAGGAAGCCACGCACTTGGGACAAACAATAGTTTCTGCTACGAGTTGGAAAGAAAATGAACTCAGGTGGAAAATGTTCAAGAATGAGAAAGGCCCAAGCAAACAGCTCAAAACAAAACTGAGGCACCAACACGCTGTAAGTGAAATATTTCCAGCAGCCAGAGAAGCGTTAGAGCCGGTGGACAATGCAGCGCGAGAAGGGTCCGGGGACGCCACGGTCGGTTCTTCTGATTAAAAAAAGTTTAAGTAAAAAGAAGTGTAAGAAAGGGCTTATCAGAAAACAGAGAGATTAATTTAGGAGATTAAAATGTAAAGATGCTTGTTCAGCCCACAAAACAGAAGCCGGGAGGGAACACTGGGTGATCTCTTAGACACACACACATTTGGGGGAATAAAATAAAAAGGGGGAAAGAACTATTCAAGACACCAGAACAAGGGTTGCACGTGGGCAACATGAAGTATCCCTGACAAGTCCAGGCTGGAAATAAGTTTATGACCATTGCAGCCTTCCAATAGGAGTAATGGGGGGGAAAAAACAAGCTTGTTCTCAGAAATTTATCTTGAAGGGATCCTATGACCCAGAAGGCTCTTCCCGTCCTTTCCTGCTAAACACACACAGCGCCGACACCACCAGGAAAGGCTGTGCTCCTCACCTGGGAAGAAATTCATAAAGCAACTCCAAAACACCTGTTTTTTTTTTTTTTAAAAAGTTTATAACTGCTCAGGTCCAAGTTCTTTCATCAGTTGAATCCATTTCAACATCTCAGCATGAGCAATTTCAAGCCAAATACTGAAGTTGTGAGTACAGCAGGTGTGAGGAGGAGGAGGAGGAGGAGGCACGGAGAGGGCACGAGCTGGCCGGCGGGTACGGAGGCACCGGGGGAGCGAGGACCAGGCTGCTGGGCACACGCCACCAGCAAAGGCATCACCTAAGCACCACGGCTGACCATGTACTGCCGAATGGGAAAGCACCCTTTGGGATGCTTCTTCATACCCTTGGTCATCCCCTGAGCTCCTTCACCTGCTCCTCGGGGGCTCAGAGCTAACGAAGCAGAGGAGAAGTGTTTCATATTATGGGGAAACAAGACGGCAAGAGAACAAACGAACCAGAAGTCCTCGAGTAGCAACGTGCCGAAATTACTGGACCTGTTTGTTTAAAAGTTGTTCTGTTAACATAATTAATGAAGCCACATTTCCCGCTATGTCCCTAAGCTAATCTGCTTTGAGGCTTCTCTGCTGTCTAATGAGACTTGAGCTCACCCCGCCTCCCCCGCCTCAACGGAGCCCTTAATTGGGTCTCTCTAATGAGGATAGATGCCCAAGTAAGCTTGTAGTTACTTCATATCCTTGCGACCTCTATCTCCAACTAATTTCAGCTTCAATTAGCCAAGGGGTTCAGAAGTCAGTGGGGCAAGGTGGGAGGAAGAGCACAGGCGTAACGGGGCCGCAAACCCACCGGTTCATCCCGAAACCAGGCTCACCTCCAGCAGACCTAACCCACGCTCTCCTGGTGAAGGAAAACGAGCTGTACGAGGGGAAGAAAACACTTCAGGGAGCGCAGGTGATAACTACAGCACGAGGGAGGACGATGCACAAGGTAGCAAGACTGGTTCTGTAGGAGAAGGGGATGAGGAGACAGAAAAACCCAGATGAAACTCCGTCTTCTGCTCCATGACCGGCAGCTGCCCCTCTGGTCCTGGGAGGGTGGAAGCGCCGATGCCTTTAAGACACTGGTGAGAGCGGCGACGAGCCCAGTTTAACCAACAGATTCATGGTTCTTCTGCTAAAGTTTCTTGTCAAAGCTTTCTTGCAGGGGTAACAGCTCAGAACAAACTTTTCAACATGTAATTTTAATGCTTAAAATGGAAGAAAGTGAAGGAGGGGAAAAAATAATAAAAAAAATTTAAAAATCTGGGAAATATATAACTTGCCAGGCCAAGACAACTCATCCTGAAGCAGCACGGACAGGTGACTCGGAGCCAGGGCAGTTGTCAGAGCAGCACTGGGGAGGAATATCGGTGTAACTTCTCCGAGAGTCAGATTGCAGGAAAGGTTGATTTAATGGCACACTACACCAGCTTCTCCACTGAGAAAAAAAAAATAACGGATGGGGACTTGCTCATCTAAACACACAGCGTACGTCAGAGGAACAAACCTGAGTAACTGCCATCCATAATTTATAAAACAAATTAAATCCATGGCAAAAATAACCGTAATTAGAACAGAACGATCGTAGAATCTGGCAGGAAAAGGCCCCAGCATGCATGAATCATTATTTTCTAGAGGAAACCTTATATAATCCAAGTTACTCTGTTTTAAAACAAATTAAACCTTCCAAAAACTCCAATTAACAGGTTTGGCAAAGCTCTGTCTTTAATTCAGGTATTTTGGTGATTTGCTAAGATTAAAAAAACCTACCTGGTACCGACTAACATTACCGTAGTCTGCGCCCTGCTTTCGGCATCTCCAAAACCCCCCATCAGAAGGCAAAGGGGAGATGAGAGCATCTACCTGGGGCCGGAGGGAGGCCATTAGATTGCAATGCCATCTTGTGGAATAGGAGAAAACGAAAGATGGGGAAAAATAAATAAATAAATTGCTCAGCCGCCACTTTGCGATTGCGTATTATTTTACAGGACACAGATATTGGCCCAGCAGGGTACAGTCGGTGGTCGCTTCTTATTTTCCTCCTTCATCTGAAAGGTCAGAGGGAGGCACCTGCAGAGACACGCTCTGCTTCCCTCACGCTGCTCGGAAGGGGATGGACACGCCTGCCAGAAATTAGAGTTTGTTTTTCCTTTTTTGCTTGTTTTTAGCCTTTAATATAACAAAGTCACAATCTTCTCTGCTGCTGCCCCAGGAAACCAGCCTTCCTCCTCGGCTACGGGAGAGCCGGTGAGAAGAGCGACTTGGGTAGGATCAGGAGTAGGATCACACCGATCCCCCGGATTCCCCCCCCCCAATCCATCGTATAGGACCTGCAGATCATGTCTGACTCCATGCGTCGCACGGCTTGGCTGAAACCACCTTGAATTTTTTTTTTTTTCCCCCCTCCAAAACTGGAAATTTTGAAAATTTTTGGAAAACGGGGAATTTTTTTCCAATTGGAATCGGAATGGGTGGGATGGCAGTTAGGCTATCTCTACCCAGGAAAGCCAAAAATACTGAAGGAGTCAGTCTAAGGTACTGTGGCATTTGCCGTATCATCAGATTGTTCCAGCTCAAGGGTTTGTTTGGGGAAAGTTTGTTTCCCCCCTCTCCCCTCACATCTCAGCTGCAATTATACTTCCATTTCTTTGCTTATTTTTCAATGCAGTTCTTAAGAGGACATTTTGATGGTTAAAATTTCTAAATTTCTAATTCTAATAAAAAAGTTAGTGAGAAATGCTTACTGAACCTGCACAAAAAAAAACCCCAAAGGTTTGGAAACTGGGGAGAGTGGGGACAAACAAACCCAAGAGAACCAGTGTAAAACTGGAAAGTCAGGATTGTGCCCACAGACATTTGGTAAAGGCAGCCCAATGTCTGATGAACGATTTGCACGTACATTTTGGTGAAAGCTCAACACAAATTTCTGAAATCTAAGAAATGTATATGTCCTAATATCCCTCCTAAATGCCCTGTGTATGCTGGGAAGAAATAAAACAATGCCAAGCAGCGTGCAAACGTTTGCCTGCAGATGACTGATGATTTTCAACAATAATTTCAGAAATGCAGCGGATTTGAGTATATCCCATGATTATTCTGCCGCTGCAGTCCCTGGGAGTTCCCACTGACACCAGTGTGGGGCTGCCCGGGGCCACCAAGGGAGACGGGCTGCAACCGGGACAGCCTTCCCCGGGCAGAGGCAAGGGGTGGGACTGTCAACGGCTCGAGTCAGCCAGAGGAATGGCATTGAAAATAAGCTGCAAATGAAACAACCCACCCGAAACAACCTGGAGGTTTCTGCCAGGGCTGTGTACGGCCAGCGGCGCGGACGCTGCTCTCTGCATCGCCTCCGCACCCAGCGATGCCCGTGCCGAGGGCCGGCCGGCTGGCGCATCAGTCACGCCGGTCGCTGGAAACGACCTCCAAAGCTTGAAACGATGTTTGCATGAGAGCGAGACGTTGAGATATTGATTAAAGTTGGATTTCATCAGCAATACTTTGATTTTATTATTATACTGGCTGCTAACAAAGACACACCCATTAATGCGTTACATTCTTGCTCGTAAAAGGGTGATTATTCCACTATTCATGCCAGGCTGCTCTGCTTGTATCCACAGCCAGTGGCTCCAGTACATGCACTCATCAGAAAAATAAAAAGACATTCTGATTGCAAAAATGAGGCAAAAACATGAAAACAGGCACACGCTGGAACAGTGGAGGCCGGGGCCGAGCAAACATCTGTGTCCCCGGGGAAGGAAGGGGTGGGCAAGGGGGGAGACTGAGCACTTCACCCCGGTTTAAATCCAAAGTGCTGAAACTAAAGAGTTACTAAAGATTTTATCAATTTAAATGAAATGTTGGAGGAGGGAAAGAAAGCACTTTGAAAAAATTACCTAGCAGGTGCCAGTTTTCCCACTGCTTGGCTTTGTGCAAGGAATAATTGTACGTACGCGGAGGGTTTTTCTGATCTTAATATACTAGTTAACTTTCAGCGCCAGGGATAAGGGTGGAAAAGGGATGGGAAGAATGCCATTAAAGCCTGCATCTTCCAGCATTATTGTTCTAAAACTCACGCTCAGGCAGAGTAGAACAGCTATCTGAGGCAATATCGTGTTTACATATGCCCAAATTGTTATGCAAACACAGGAAGACCTATTGGAGCAGAGGGAACAGGCACCGAGAGGCAGCGCTTCTCACCACCCCTTGCAGAAAAATGTTTTTCAATGTGGAAAGGGTGAGAGAGGTCACCCCCAAGGAATCCAGCCCTGGATCCTCCCAGCCTTCGCCTCTCCCATCCTCCTCCTCCTCCTCCTCTCAAATTCCCCAGCGCAGCCAGCATGGGTTTCCCAGTTAAAGAGACAGGCTCATTATCCGGCAACATTGTCTGGGGGCTGCATTTGCATGAGGAACCTGAAAAGGGGGAGAAATACCGACCGAGGGAGAGGTTGTCCTGTCTGAAACGGGATTCACTGCCTGCCCTACGCAGAAAAGGAAACCACAGTTATCAAGGGGAAAATCCAAAGGCACACAGAGGTACTCGGCATCATTCACGTGCATCCTGCGTCAATGTTAAAGATCTAAAATTTAAAAAATCGGTCCTGAACTCAGCACTCGTGCCTTTAATTCTGTCCATAGCTGGTACAAGAGAAATTGGAGACAAACTCCTCTGACAAGTCAACTTCAACCTCCAGAAGGGACCAAAGGTTTTCATCAACCTACATCAACCAAGCTTTCAAAAAGTTATCACTGATGAAGAACCAAATAAATCTCTGAAATATATCGTCAGTGCTTGAAAAGTGTCTCATTGCCAGTCCAAGCTTAGTCACTTTTGCTGCTAGATCATCACTGTGCAGAAGAAAAACTCCCCACCAGCCAGAAACCTTCTCACCACCCAGATGTGTGACCGAGTCAGCTCTCAACTGTCTCTATACTAAACTACATAAGCCAAATTTCATTAACTTCTGGCTACAAGTCACATCTCTACAGAGCAGAAGTTGTTCTTGTTAGCATTTTGAATCCTTTAGACAGTGCCAAAAATGAACCACGGACACCAAAAGTGGAGATGCCTTTTCCAGAAGGGGGTCTCTACCACCAGCTCCCCATAGACACGCTCCCCCGTCACTCCTCATGTCACTCATCCCCCAAGACGCAGACGTCTTCGGCCGTCACCCACAGCATGCTCCCAGCCATTGCTATCGAACCCCCAGTTCCTCACGCTATGGAGGAAACCTGCCGTGAGATGTATAACCCCGCCCTGGCTATATGGAAAGGGAATCCAGTCTGGCTGGAAGAGTCACCAGCGAGGATTTCATACCTGGCAGTCTGTGAATGCTACTTGGTTGACAACACAGGACCCCACCAAAAACGTCCCTGTGGCGTCGCTCCCGGCCGTGACCAGTTTGCGAGAGCTGGGAGCAAGTTGTTTTAAACCTAATTAACACATAGCACACTCATTCCATACCGCTCTACAATTTCCAATCAGAATATCGTGCAACGCCGGAGTCAACTTAAGGAAGTTAACTGTGCTAACACGCAGCAGCGGAAGACAGATTTGAGTTTGGAGAGGTGGTTTTTCACATTTTTAAAAGCAGCTGCTGTCCTTCAGGGAAGCACATCGCGCAGCCTCTGAGCGCTAGACTGCTTTCTCATCGTTTAATACCAGGGCAGGATTTGTGCTCAAGCTATTTCTTACCACAGGACGTTGATTTCTTGTCCACCATCTTCACATGCCGCGTCTGGTTGCGAAGTTTGTCGTCTGTGTTTTCCACCAGGTTAGTGAGGTCGTCGATGATCTCTGGGGAAAGAGAAACACGAGCATTAATCTCCGAGCCCCGCAGCATCACTGCTCAACAAGCACGCTCCTGCAGGAAGCTCCCAAATGGAAACCAGCTGCATCCTTCTGCCTTCCAGTATGACAGACCAGTGCTCCACATGCACTGAAAGGTCCAAATCCCGGGAAATCCTACACAAGAGACTTTGGATTCAGTGGATGGAGTATAAGATGATGGCCGCCACAAAACACTAGCCAAAGTAAGAGAGTAAGTGCACATGCTACAGGAAATCTGAAATTTCAGTCCCTGGAACAGAGCATCTCAACACTCGGCCGTTGCACAGTCATTAAAACGCGTTCAGAATCACCATCTTTGTAAATGCTTTTGAGAGCGTTCGGTGCGGTCCCAGACAAGTGACCACGGAGGATACAAAGACCCCCCCGGTGAAAGTACCGAGCTGCACGGGTGCGGCAGTTCTGCCTGCAGCGCAGATGATCCTAAGGGAAAAGGCAAGCGAGCAGACTTTCTCCTACATCTATTTGTAATAGAGGGGAAAGGAAAATTTCAAGCCAACCCATCCTCAACCTCATAAAACCGATGGGACGTCCCGTCAGGGACGTCGGACCAGGTACAAGGCTCACACCAAGACTGCGTGCTGGATTGGGGGATTTTTAACACCGCAAATTAAAAGCCACATTCAGGCACCAAGTTTCCTTCTTGCTGACTGTTACGCTCTAATTTTCTTGAAATACACAGCCAGTGCTCCTTGCTGGGCGTAAAAATACATCGCGTTTGAATTGCTTTCTACTCTGCAGGTAGGAACGGCTTTTTTTGTGCATGATAAATCAGGAGGAGGACAGCAGCCAAAACCTGAATGCTATTGCAAAGCATCTTGTTCTGGTTACACTTGTAGAATTTTCCCCACTACTGATCACTGCCTTAATAAATCCAGTCTGCCTTTTGAGGCCAGGTCGGGGACAGCAGCCGTGCCAGCTGGCGGGTGCTGTGCCCTCAAGTCATCGTACCCAGGCGGATGCCAGCACATCTCTGTGCCGCAGCACTGCCGAAACTTCCAGGTTTAATGGACAGTAAGCAAAAGAAAAAGTTAGAGCGCATAGTTAGCAAGATATACCAATATTCTGTTCGGTTTTATGCGGCACAACGCTGTAGGCGTGCTGGCTGAGGGTTAAGGAAAACAAGTCCCATCAACAGGACAGAGCCTTTATTGTTTTGACAAGACGATATTTGGGAAATCTCTGCTAGGAACAAGGGGATGAGCCCAAAGAGCCCACTCCTCGCACTTCCCAAACTGCCCCACGACGCTAGAAGAAAACGTTGCGCTCACAAAGGGTAGTGCCGACGTGTGATGTTAGTTCTTGCGGCTTCTCAAGAACAGGCGTGCACCTCTGCGGCCATCAGGTTTACACCAGCACATCAGGTTTACACCAGCACTTCCAAGGGGATGGTTTCCCCCACAATTCAGCTCCCTACAGCAGAAGACGCCGGTTATGCAGGGTGCTTACGTCCTCGCTTCTTACCGAGTAGCGGGCATTGCTCTAGGTACAGAGATACAACCAGTTGGATCGCACGTATGGATAACAAAAACCAAATGGAAAATAAGCGAAGTTCTGAAGACACAAAGGAAATTTTCAAGGGCGTATGTCGCACGGAGGTTTTACTCTCCCAGAGAGCTGGGAGATTAAAGCATCATCCTTCTGATGCATGCTTTTTAAATCTGCCCCACAAGCAGTCATCTCCAGCAAATCCCTGTGTAAAACGGTATCAGAATCTAAAAAATCTCATATGAAAATATAGATCTTTCTTAAAATATGAGCTCCTGATTGATGTTCTTCAGCCTAAACCCTCTCAATATTCGCATGAAGGGAGGGCAGAGGGCAAACATCAACTGCTCCTGCATGCAGCCTCCATTTTATCCTAGAGATCCGAACCGCTCACCGTGCCTGTGGTTAAGCAGCATCACCCCACCAATGCCACTCAATTCCAGACCATGAACTCTCCATATTTGTGAAGCTGTTTAAAATACTCAAGATTTTATCGTTCACCCTACACCAAAACACTTTTTCCCAAGTGATGACAGGTACTTTATTTGAACCGCAGGATTTGTTCAGTTCGTAGTTCAGATATTAATTCTCCTCCCCCTTCCACCCAACTTTCCCAGGTCCAACATCTGCAAAGCCAACAACATTTTGGGGAAACTTTATCTGTCTTGCGTGATTCAGCGCACAGGAAAACCAGTACAATGCTGCCTGCAAAAGCAGCCTTTCTCATGTTTGCCTCTTAATGAAAAAAAAAGTGCCGAAAGTTCCCATCGTTGTCAAGGACAAAATGATAAGCATGCTTGGGAAATAAGAGACTTTCCTTTGCCAACACTGACCAGACCCTCCTTGAAAAACATCCTGGTGAACAAGCTGTAGCTAAATGAGAACAAACGCGAGCAGGAAAATGTTCTGTCATCATTTCAAAGCCCAAGGCATTGCAATTGGGATTATGTCTAGAGCCTCTCCTTCCCCGTCCCCCTGCACAAGCCATTCCCGAACCAGAGAACGGACTGTACGGCTTGGGAGAAGCGTTTCTCCACATCTACATGTCTCTTGATACAGCCAGGTTTCATGGGAGCCAGCTGCTTCACCAAGCATGTAGCCCAAAGCCCAACAAGCAACCAGCCCTTTGACGTAGCCTCCGGTTAAGACCAGGAGCCTGCAGTGAGACCAGGAGAAGCGTTGGCGTGCTCATGGCACAGCCAGGAGCTCTGAGCAGGGGCTTCCCCTCCGCAGCTGGGCTGGGGCTGGTGTGGGGAGAAAGGGCAGGGAGGTTCTTACCCATCACCAGTTGAACCAGAAGCCCAGCAGGTTCCCCAGGCCAGAGTGCCCTCACAACCACCACCACCACCCTGCAGAGAAACATCCATCTGCCCCCACCAACCCGCTGTTGTGGTGACAGGTTCAGAGCAGCTGTCGACCTTTGTGGAAACGGAAGAATTTCTCCTCGCTCTAAAGCAAAGGAAACACAATGGGAACACGTGCTGTGTAAGGCAGAGATGAAAACTAGTAACAAATTTCTAAGGCAGGCAGAGCTGCTGCCAGAGAAAACTCACTCCATGGCTGAGAAAGTCCTTAGAGCACCGGCAATCCCGTGCGAGCTCTCAGTGGTCCTGAGGACCATCTCCTCTGCCAGATGACCCACCTGCAATTCCCTCCACCCTTCAAGCTGGCAATTACATTCAGGATGAAAAAAATTTTCTACCGCCTCTCATTTACCTGATTATACAAGCAGCAAGTTAAAAAAAAAGATAGAGAAACCTGAAAAAGGGGCAGGAGCGAGGTTCCCCCGCTGCGAGGGAGCAGACGGAAGAGCAGGCTGAGCGCTGAAGGGCTGCCAGTGACCTTCAAAGGACGTTTCTGTAACACTGCACTGCAAACCACATTTAAACCTGTACCGCAAATTTAGCCAAGGTCTTTCAATGAAGCAGGACACCGAAGCAGAAGATAAAACCTACTGCACAAGTCTAGTATTAAAATCTGAATAATTTAAGCCCAGCTGAAGTGGGAGAAGTTTGAAGGTTGGAGATGAGCTCAGGCAGGACCTCCTGTATCAGCAGGGACCTCTGCTTGAAGATCGGTGTTGCAGCCTTGCTCGTCCCTTTGCTAGTGTCACAGCCGTCAGCCAGGCACGTACGGTGGCTTTGGAGGTCACCAGCAGCCGAAGACGTCGAGCACGAGAGCGGCAGGTTTCTGTAACAAGGCAAAGGTCGGTGCCTGGGCATCGCCAATTCTCCTCACCTCATTCCTGAGAGGCTGCGGCAGTGAAACACCGACCCGTCTCTAAAAATCTGGATGCTTTTCCTGGTGATCAGAGCTATAAACTGTGGGCTGGAGCCCTCAAAAAGGCAGGATTTCTTCAGAAGCCTGGTATATATCACACGGCAAAAAATAATGGTGGGATTTACAGATGTGAGATCAATACGTGCATACCTTAAACCAGGACAAAAAATCATGGCAGGTCTTAATTTTGCGGACACAACAAGCCTGTCTGCAGACCTGCAGACCTTGCTCCTCCGGCTACGGCACCAGTGATGGAGAGGGCACGGGCAGCCTTCGGGGAATCGGGACCAATTCCACACAGGGGATTTACAAGCAAAGAAAACACGCAATGAGGAAACAGCGAAGGCAGCAGATGACAGGAAAAAAATGCAGGTTGATATATTCTGAAATACTTGTCCTTTTTTTTGGTTAAAAACCCCACAGCAGTGGTCTTTGATCTCAGGGAACGTGTTTTGGAGCAACACAGCGCAGCCACGCGGAGCGCAGGTCCGGGTCGGAAAAGGTGGAAGAAGGGTCCCTGTGGAAGAGACGGGAGAGGCTGGAAAAAGAAGCCGTACGGTCAGTCCGACCCCGGC